AGACCCGTTCCTATAGGAGAAGACTCACCTCTCAAACTGGATGCTGAAATCGTGTGTGAGGAATCTCTGCTGGCTGCTCCCACGACTCCTCGACTAACTCTATACAATAATACTTAGTCAGAAAACTAAGAATCCTTCTAAGCGTAAAATGACCATTTTACACCTGCTCTAACTTTGGACCATATCCAAGGCCCAATTCCAACTAATCCTTCTAAGTCCACTAATGGCCCACTAAGGCCCACTAATGGCCCAATTTTCTAAATTGGGCCCAACTTCTCAAATGGGCCTTCCCTAATCCCAATCATGTCCTTGGTCCAAAATTTGACTTCTGATGGCCCACTAAGGCCCAATAGCTGATAAGTCCAATAGTTGGCCCAAACCAAGGCCCAAAAGGTAAAAGCCCAATACTGTTGAGTACGCGGGGCGTACTCCTCTGTACGCAACGCGTACCTGCTGTATGGCTTGTACGCTGCGCGTACTAGCTGGTACGCCCAACGTACTACCCTGTAAAGCTACTTTTCCCATTAAGCACTTAATAGTCAACTCCAGAGACTATAACTGCAGATCCAGGTCCTTTTCAACGTCCTAATCCATAAAGTCGATCACTTGGTGGCTTGCAACCCACCAAATGAGCCCAAACATAGAATAATAGCAACTAACTCCATAGAAATGGCTAGATCTCATCCATGGTTCCATAAAAGCCTCAAAGATTGAAACTTTACTGCTATAGGAATGCTTTGAGCTCCATGGATGGCAACCCCAAGCTCAAAAACGAAGTTGCATGATAAAGATCCATCCTTTAGACCTAAAAGGTCCAAAGCTCCATAATCCTAGATCTCAGCTTCTAAAGAGGAAAGTCAAAAGCTTTATACCTCCTTTGAGTGCCAAAAGATGAATTAGTTCCAGATCCTTGAGCTCAAGATACTCAAGTTCTTCTTCTCCAACTCCTCTTCACTTCGTCCAAGCTTTTCTTCACCAAAAATAAGCTCAAGAGGTCAATCACACACAAATGGAGTATGAGGGCGTATTAGGGTTTTCTGAGGGTGAGGGCTGGTAAGGAGGCCAGGGGGTGGCTATAATGGGGTATTTATATGTCTTAAACCCTAAAAATTAGGGTTTTTACATCTGCTCACGTACGCTGCGCGTAATCCTGGTACGCTGCGTGTACGCGCACGCGCCACCGTATCCAATGCATGCCTCTACGCCCAGCGTACGTCTTATGGGCGGCCCAATTCTTTGGCCCATTTGCTTAAGTCCAATCCAATAGTCCTTTTTATCCGTATTTGGCCCAACAATAATTTAAGAAATAATTAATAATTAATACCTCAAATGACGGTCGTTACACCAAAAGTGTCCTAAATGAAGAAATTGCTAGATCTCCAAGATGGGGTGACCAAGTTATGAGCTTTTTACCTCCTGGAGGTTGCTAGAAAGGAGATTATCTAAGATCTAAGTTGCTTCCAAGCTCAAAGTTCTTCTCACCACCTTTTTCTACTTCTTCTTCAAGAATGCCACAAAACACAAAGATAAGCTCAAGATGCACTCTTCTCACTTAGGGTTAGCTAGATGGTCGTTTTTCTCAGAGGGAGGCTGACGGGGGAATGAGAAATGAGGGATAATGATGCTTATATATGGACCAAACAAAAAAAATTAGGGTTTGAGGATTTACCATGTACGCCCTGTGTATGCGGTGTACGCCCTGCGTACTAGGGTCCGCCCCAGTACGCCTAGCATACACATTGTACGCTCGGCGTACTAATCCCTGACCAAAATTACCAAAATGCCACAATGGGCCATTCTTGCAATCTTTCTCAAACCCAAGGGTTAAAATGCAATATTCTTTCATACATAGGGTTAAAATTGAAAATACCTCATCATCGGGATGTTACACAGGCCTTGACCACGTCATGGTGCATCCTTTGCCACATCGTGATCTCCACAAAAATTCTTTATTTAAGACTTGAATTTCCAAAACTCAAGAATGATATTTACCTGGAACTCAGTGTTACAATGTGTTTTGGCTGATTTTAGATATGAATTGAATCATGTTTGTTGAATCAGAACTCGAGAATTTGTATGTGTATGTGAATTGAATAAAGCACCAATAGCTCCCACCTCACAATTTGTATGTGTTTTTTCTGTAATTAACCTAATTTTCATTTGTACTGAAACTGATCCTTCTCTACTATGAATTCAAAATCTATTTTGGTTTCTAAAATTGATTTTGGTCCCGTGGCTTTATGTTATCGTGGAGAACCTTGTGTTGATGTTTTTATCACATTAAGTACCCTTGAGTTAAGGTCATACATTAAAAAACATTTTATTCATGATTCTGTTTAGTTTAGTTGTTTGTACGGGCGATTGTTATGGGAACAACGTGAACATTTTGGTTTATATGTCAAGAACAAAGCATAAATATGGAGTAGTGAGAGATGTATTATCATATACTTATTGATGTTTCAATTTGTTATTACTATGAATATGGTTGTATGGAATAGCCTTAAACTAATTTTTCATGTGAGATCTTAAGCAAAAAACTTGAATCTTCTTTAATCTACATGCATGAAACTGAAGCCATCAACAAAATTGTCCTTTCAGGTGTTCTAGACAATGTGAACGAGGCAGAGCAGGTGTTCTAGACAATGTGAACGAGGCAGAGCAGTTTGAGGTGTTAGCTGGTGATTAGTTTAAGGACGGAAGTAAAGTTATGTATATATATTGGTACTTCATAGAAGAGATCATCACCCTCTTGGAATCTTGAAGAATGCAATATATAAAGTTGTCAATTAGGTTGTTACTCGTAGTTTTGGAAGAAAGAAAAACACTTGATTATTTTGTGTTTATGTAGAAATTCAATCAGTTCGTAAATCAATAAATTTGTGATAATGATTTTATGTGATTTGATGAATATATGCAATTTAGCAAAAAATAATGATTATATATTAATATATTTCAGACGGGTAAAGTGGTGATTTTCAGCATTCAATAAAAATGCTTATATATTAATATATTTCAGAATTTCTAAGCCAATCAGATGTATATTCAGTCATAATTTCTAACTCAATCAGCTTATAACCCAGTCAACAACTATCAAACGATCCTTTATCTTCCCGTGGTGTTATTTTGTCTTCCTCGTTACCATGTCTTTCTCAATTGTGATTTCTCTTCTTGTATCTGTAAATGGTTTCGGACTTGGAGCAAGGCTTTCGAGATTCCCCCTACTAATAAGGAAGATCTCATACATGTGTTGAAGGCTTCAAGTTCTAATAAGCTGAAAATGAAGTTGATTTTGGCCCTTTCCTATTTGGTAACTTGGATTATCTAGAAAGCCCATAGCTTGGTGGTGTATCACAAGAAGAGGTGCTCTCACATGAAGACGGCGGATGATCTTCGGCTTCTTTCTTTCAACTGGATCAAATATCGTTCAAAATTTTCTAATTTATGTTGATTTGAGTGGTGTAATTCTCCTTTTAATGCTTGTAACTTTTGCTAGCCTCTTGCTTGTCGTTTTTTCTTTTAATGCATCCGCCTTTCAAAAAAAAAAAAACAACAACAACTAACATCTAATGACCTTGGACCTAAACTCTAACATTATGTAACATACTAACATTATATGGTACAAAAGTAAATCGTATACGTCTTATATGTGAGTTCATTGTTGTTGGTGTTTCACTTTAACACTAATCCAGTTCCAAAAAACAAAAAAACACTAATCCAGTTCATATTTTGGCTTATATTAATGAACTTGATTGAATTAGCTTAACATAGGGAAAGGAGTTGTCTCTTTTTAATAAAAAAAAAACTAAAACAAACATCAGTTTTAACATAACTACAACTCAAGTTCCAATACGATACTAATAATTTTTTGAAAACTATGTTAACCTTGAAGCTTCACATCAAAAACAAACAAATTCTATTTACCAATCATGGAATTTCATAGGTTAAGAGAAAAAAATATATTGAGACAGGTTCAAAAAACCTTCTTTATTAGGGATGTGTTAAAACCTTCTTTCTCCGGGATACGTTTGCATTATTAGCACAGCCATCCCACTAATCGTTGTATTGTGACATTATCTAGTGGAAGCAAATAGTATATAATAAGCCGACTGGTTGAGAGTTGAGACAACAAAATAGAAAAACGTCTCTCATACGCACTTAAATGAGTTAAAGATTCTGCATGATTTTATATATGAAACTAATAAATATATACAATGGAAGATGCAAACTTCTCAAGTAAGGTTAAATATATACAATGGAAGATGCAAACTTCTCAAGTAAGGTGCGAGGAGCAGGAATAGAATCCTAATAAATTTTAATTCTCGCTTGAGGATTTAACAAGTAATATGAATATTTATGAACGGTATATTAAACACAAGGATTTGAACAAATATTATATTTTATTTAAAATAAGTTCTATAAGAGATATAATAGTCTATTGATAAAAATAAAAATTTAAAATACTTAACAAAATATTAAACACAAGGATTTGAACAAATATTATATTTTAAAAGTTTGTTAATAATAAATATTTTATTTAGAAATTAGATAAAAAAATATGATATTTTTATATTTAAGAAAGAAATACAAAATTCTCCATTATATTATTTATTTATATAATTATATATGCATCCGATAAAATGTGTTATGCGTAATACGATTTTATGATTTGTTGAGTTCGAACACCGTAACACACACTTTACACTTGAATATTCTTTAAATTAAGCATAAAAAAAATCTTAACAAGGTTTTAGCATCACAAACATCATAATAATAATAAAAGTTTGAGGCCACTATTTTAGCTTGAGAAGCATGCATTTCAATACCAATTGGTTAATATCCATGAAAAAACATCGCTTCGCATTGTCCGAATTCTAACCTTACCTTACTATATAGGGAAATACACCCAAACCTTCATGAAATCAAAGATTAGGGTTTTGGAAGCAACATCCATATTCTTTGGTAATTACTGTAAAACAATAACAACTTCCAATCTTGTTTAATTAAGCATATTGGAACAAAAAAAAAAGATGAGGTTTACCATCAATTAAAACCGTATCTCCTTCTCTATCTCCTAACAACACCATTTGTTTCTTATCAGTGACTAATTAACCTTAAAATCCCTTCGTCATCCCACATGCATATTGCATGCTAATAAAACCAAAACCTAATTAACCAACAAAATCATGAATCAACTGACCTCCAAAATGTTGCTGCAACTGCTGAACATGCTCAGCATTTTGTCTAAGTCCCAAAGTAAGAGAAACCGGACCCAACCCACTTGCATCAAATGTGGCTCGAGGGTAAGGGATAATGTTCATGAGCCGGTCCATACTGGTTAATGCCTGCATCTGGTTGTATTCGGGTCTATCAGTAGCTTGTTTCTCATGGTCATTTGATTGATCATGATCATGATCATTTACTACTGTTAAGATCCCATTGTTTCTTGAATATTCTTGTTGCTGCGAGTTTGGTAACGAACCCATGTCGATCCGGTTAGGTTCCTGACCATCTGGTTGGTTCGGTTCAGCCAAGCCTTTGGTTTCAAGGGTGTGTATTTCTTCCACCATTGGTTTCCAAATTCGAACTCTTGCATTTATGAACCAGTTTGAAACCTAACATATTAATTAAACCATATTTAGCAAACACCTTTAACAAAAACATGTATCGCAGATCAATTTGAAGTGTCGTGTTTAATATTACATTATTTTGCACCAAAATGATGTAATATTTGGTGCAAATAGTGATTATCCCCAATTTATTACATCATTTTTACACCAAAAAGAATATTCATTTTTTCTGACTTAAATAGATTTTCAAGATTAGCGTTTTACAAATTTGTCATACATCTTTTTGCTATATAACTAATTACTTATTAAATATATTATATTTAACAATTATATGATCAAATAATTTATTTGTATATAACTAATATTGATTTGTATATTGTTAAAACAAACATCTTATTAAAGAATTACATTTATAAAACACAATCAAATAAATATTACGCATGCACTTTTAGAAATATTACAAATACACTTAATGACTTAAACAAAATTTTATATTAAATAAATTCAAAACATAAAGATTAAATTTAACATATATTTATTAATTAATTTCAATTTAATATATATGATCAAATAGTTTATTTGTATATAACTAATATTGATTTGTATATTGTTAAAACAAACATCTTATTAAAGAATTACATTTATAAAACACAATCAAATAAATATTACGCATGCACTTTTAGAAATATTACAAATACACTTAAAGACTTAAACAAAATTTTATATTTAAATAAATTCAAAACATAAAGATTAAATTTAACATATATTTATTAATTAATTTCAATTTAATATATAACACAATTTTACAAGTTAACAATACAATTAAATTAATTAGAAATGTATAAACTCAAACATGAATGACCATATTGCAAGTACACATGTACATGAAAGTTTAACTCTAAATATGGTGCAAGGGAATAATAGATCAACTATTTGGTGTTATACTGTTCATTTACACCAATTTAGTGTAACAAATGGGTTAAAAAAAGAAAATTTGGTTTTGGGTAGTCAAGATAGCTAACCTGGTTTCTGGTTAAGCCAGTTTGAGTAGCCAACATATGCTTGTCTGCATCCGAAGGGTACCTTCATATATATAATGAGATCAAATGTCAACTTTATAACCATCTCATACTTTAAAATATATTGTAAAAAATAATAATAATAATAATAATAATGTTTTTGGGAAAAGATAATTACGTACGGGTGAAGGAAATGATCGAAAAGCCAGGTTTTAAGAACTGAGATAGCGCGTTCAGGGAGACCTCTTTGAGGCCTCCACACCGGTTGTTGTGATGCAAAGAATGCGGCAGAACCACCACCGGATTTTTCAAGTCTCTGGTCAATGGATTTCAGGCGAGAAGTAGATGTCACATAATCAGGATCACAAGCTGCTTTATTACCACTCATGGACATGGTCTCTCCCATCATCTTCTTCATTTGTGACAGTTGATCGGAAATCACGTTCTTTACACAGTGAAAATGCCGGGAAACCGCCTTGAGAGCTAAACAAACGTAAGGTGTTGAGGTACTCAGTCCTGCTACTGTTTCAAAAGCTGAAATCACCATCTGCATTTGCTGCAGATACTGCTTGTACCTTCTGCATACCTTGTGGAACCCAACCAGGAATAGAACTCCATCAGTATTCCATTCAGTACGTACACGATGAATAAAATCATTAGAGAAAAAACATAACAGTATGTGTATCTCTGGGTCACTGTTACTTCCTCATTGGAAAAAGACACTAAGTGGAGTCTACTAGCTAGCTAGCCTGTCATGAAAAGTTTGATGTGAAGTGAAGAACAATCATGGCGATGGCGAAGGTTTGAAAAATTATTAGTGACAAAAAAATGGGTCAACTACAGTACTTCAATTAGTTTCGTTAATGGAGTTGCTAAAATGACACCCTTTTTTCCTTTTTTACTTTTCCTTTTTTACTATTTATAAGTACCTTTTTTACTAATTTACAAGTACTTCAATTAGTTTCGTTAATGGAGTTGCTTAAAAGACACCCTTTTTTCCTTTTTTACTATTTATAAGTACCTTTTTTACTAATTTACAAGTAGTTTATTATAGCACCCTTCTTTAATTAATCTGTCCCTACTTTGCAAGCGACTGGATTTCCGATTTCCAAAACCATGAGTTTTTCGTTTCAAATAAACAAACCATATATCATTTCAAGATTAATTCTAAAAATATCTCAATGCTGAAAAGATCAACAAAATCACGCATCAGTTATAGAAAAGATAGTGTTAATTGTACATTTGAAAAGGAAAACGAGTTTATCAAGTACGATGGTTTGTAAAGTCAAATCCTTTCAAAGTTCAAAGGGTACCTCTTCCTGCATATATAGCAACCTGGCCTTCTTCCGATGAAATTCTGGACGGAGAGATTCAGAACCGGAGTTATTGTTTCGGCTACTGATAGGATCTTCTGAAGCATCCGAAGAACTGAAAGCACGACTCATTTCTTCTTCAAGAATTTTGTGGGAGTAAACATCATGACTTGCTTGAACAAGATCCTGACCCCCTACATCACAATTCCCGTTCAACAGTTCTTGTGCAGGCTTCAAATACTTGGAATTCTTTAGAACTGTAGCGTACCCGGTGAACGGACCCAGTGGACCGGTATTCCGGTGACCGATAGATGAAACGCCCATGAAAGATTTAGGATCGGAGTTGGGTGGTAATAGATCCGACTTTAAAGGTTTTTGACCCGATTGTAGATTGGGTTGATCATCTTTAAGGTGTGGGACTGATGAAAGTGATAAAGATAAGGCTTGAGTGTTGCAGTTACCCTCATTTGCAGCCATTGTTGTTTCATGAACTCGGTTTGCTAAAAGACCCGATTCATGATCAGAATTGTTCATCCAACATGGAATTGACTGATTCATCACGGAATCGTCCTTGCTATGAGGAAGTTGGGCAAGAGTGACTTGATCTTGTTGAAGGGTGTTATGGTAAAAAGGAGAAGAACCAAACGCCGGAACACTGTGCACATCTTGTTGGTAGCCATAGCAGCCTGAATTCAAGTTCCTTTGATCAATACTCGTCGAAGCAGCAGCAGCATTCGAATAGCTAATTAAATTCCAATGATCACTGGCTGCAGCTTGTTGCGAAGAAACAACAGTTTTCCAGTCGTTACAATTCTGTGGATTCGCCAAATTAACAAAACCACCACCACCACTGGAACTTATCAACATCCTCTCCGAAGAACCCAAACCCAAAGCCGAACTTGAACCTGGACTAGAATCTTGGTCATGGGATACAAAACCATGGCCGGAAGGTAACAGCAGATGTGGATTCCTAGCAACGGAATTGAACATTTCGGAAGGGAAGACATTGGTGTTGTATGAAAAGGGTCGGTGTATATCTTTGGGTTCGAACTGAGGGTGGTCATGAAGTGGATGTTGGTTATTCAGGTCACCGGAGCTTTGCTGAAATCTCAATTTACGTCGCCGGTTTTTCTGCGCTACATGTGATTCGACCCTCAGATTGTTCAGCTCCATCAACTCCAGACTAATTTTCAACAAATTTAACTGATTAATAATATTTTAATGATTCCTGCATGGACATACCCATAGAATTTAATTCAAATATATTCAGTTGAACTTAACCTAAGAGAAGCGTAACATGATTAAAGAACCCAGACAGTGTATTAAATACAAATAATAAAAGAATGACAGTAAAACACAAACGTATACACAAAATCAAACAAAACCCGACGAAAAACTTTAAATCTGGAAAACCCACATGACAAGTTCAGTGACTGGGTTAAAGATAGATCTGATCACTCACTGATCACGAAGTTCTTAAAGTCATGTGTTTCTGTTTATTGTATAAATACATGGATGGATATATGTATATTTGAGTATGGATGGAGATGATTGGTTGTACATGTGATATGTGTTCGTATAATTTACCTGTGAAATGACATTCTGGACATGAGTTTGAGGGTAAGTAGCTGCCGGAGAGAGTGGATTGGACCGTGTGCGGCGGAGAAGTGGGCGAGGAAAGTGGCGTAAGAGACAGGCGAGGGTGGGGGAGAGTGAGAGATATATTTGTGGAGGAGAGAGGGCAATAGGACAATGATTGCAAGGGTGATAATTCCAGTTGGCTATTTAGGTGTCTCTCAATGACCTAAACAACAGTGTGTAGGTTAAACGCCGTTAAATTCTAACGGCAAATATTTAAAACCCAACCATATTATCTTATTCCTTTCACCGAAATATATATAAAGTTGGAAAATATCTGTTGTGTTCTTGTGTATATTCTTCTAGTTCTAGACATTGTCATACACCTATAGAGTACGTAAGATTGTATATGTAGGGGGATTATCAGGAATAATCACCAAAATATCTATTTTTCATCTATATATATTACAAAACTTTATATAATACTTATTTTTTTAATATAATCTTTATGACCATGTTTTTGGAATGTTTTTGATGGAGGTCATAGTTTTCCAAAAACCCAAGAATTAAAGGTGAAACGTTAGATCAAAACAAACTCGTTAAAGACTTGATTGTCATCTTAACAATCTCATTTAATTTTCAATTTTTTGTGTTATTAGAAATATTAAAAAAAATGTCTTAAAATTAACATAATAAATCAAGTTTTCGTATCTTTTTTAAGTAAAAATTTTCTATTTTTTAAAAAATACAGATTTCTTAATTTTTTTTGGAAAACTTTAATCTTTAAAAAAATTGAAAAAATATATATATTTTTTTAAAAAACTACAATTTTTTTAAAAAACAAAAAAATTTGAAAAATCAATAAATTTAAAAATAAAAAAAACACTGAAATATTTATAAAAAAAACTATAATTTTTTTAACTAAAAAAATCAACGTTTTAAATGCATATATACATATTTTTCAAGTACATATATGCATCTTTCTTATACTATAATATTCATAAGTAATCATATAAAAAAATCCATTTTTATTTAATAATCTATAAACACAATAATACAAGTATTTTATTCGATACAAAATAAAATATAAAAAAACAAAAAATACTACAAAATTTCAAAGCGTTTTCATGTCTTCATGTCAAGATTTACATATTTTCTTTAATTTATCATTTTTCACATCTTCAATATTTTCCACAAATTCTTCCAAATCTAAAACAAAATTAAAAAAAATTGATTAATGTAAGAATACTCACAAAAATACATGTATGCATATAGACGTAATTCACATGTGATTCACATATTATTTATATGTGAATCACATGTAATTCATATGAGATTTACTTGTGAGTTATATGTGATTCATGTTGGGAATATACCAAACAAGTTAAGCACTTCGAACAAAACGATTAACGATTTCGGTAACACTCGCAGAATAAAACTACTGAAAAATTGCAAACGAAATTGAACACGATATTTAACGTGGTTCGGTCTAATCTGACCTACATCCACGGGCGAACGAGAGAGATGAGATTTTATTAACACCAAGGAAATTACAATCATACAAGGCTAAAAAACTGCACTTGTAATCTGATCGCTCACTGTAAGGTATCACTCGTATTTTAACTGTCGAAAATAAAATACAACCTCATTATTTCTTTTATGTGTATATATGATCGTTGTGTTGTGCTCTCTGCTATTTCTACTTACAACACACATATATTTATATATATGTTGTGAGCCGTAACAATAATTCACTCTAATGTGAAAGTGAATACCCACCATTTGACATTTGTTAATTGTCTGACAAAGGAAGAAAATAGCCTCCTCGAAAATATGCGTAGCTTGAAATAATTCCTATGCATTTAATGTTGTTTTTCTGCAGCCGAAACAAATTTCCTTTTTCACATGAGAGTTGGTGATAGTGACGTTTACCCAACAATTCAATTCAATTGTTAATTGCCAAGTTACATTTATGGCCCTTTAGCTCTTAGGAACTTGTCAATATGTTCATGACTCCATAAATCTTAACAATCTCCCACTTGGAGGCTTGAACAACTTAGTCTTTCTCTGCCATCCAAAACTTTGCAACGTTCCTTAATCACACACACACACACACACACACACTCTCCCTCTCGTTCTCTGCCATGCCTTTTTCTCAAACTTCTGAAAGGCCAGTTGAAGCCATACAAAGCTTCAACTTTTCAGTGGTAACCACCTTGGTGAACATATCTGCTGGATTCTTCGTTCCAAGGATTTTCTTCAGATTTAGAGTTCCATCATTAATTAATTCTCGAATAAAATGGTACCTCATCTGAATGTGTTCCGTTCTACTATGAAACACTGGATTCTTTGCCAAGTAAACTGCACTCTGGTTGTCACAATGCAATACACAATCCTCCTGATGCATTCCAAGTTCTGATAGAAAGTTCTTCAACCATATAAGCTCTTTGACTGCTTCTGCAATGGCCATATACTCTGCTTCTGTGGTTGAGAGAGCAACACTCTTTTGTAACCTGGACATCCAACTGATTAATGTACCTCTAATTGTGAACACATAACCTGTTGTGCTCTTTCCTGAATCCACACATCCACCCAAATCAGCATCGGCGAACCCTTCTAAGATCACACCCTTTCTTCTGAAACATAGGGCAACCTCAGATGTTCCTTTCAAGTAGCGTAACAACCACTTTACTCCCTCCCAATGCTCTTTTCCTGGATTTGACATGAACCTGCTCACAACTCCCACTGCATGAGCAATGTCTGGTCTGGTGCATACCATAGCATACATCAAGCTACCAACTGCAGATGCGTAGGGAACTTTAGTCATCTGTTCCCTGTCTTCTTCCGTCTTTGGGGATTGCTTCTTTGAGAGTCTCAATTGACTTCCCAAAGGTGTACTTCTCGCTTTAGCATCTGTCATGCTGAACTTTTCTAAAACTTTCTTGATGTACTTAGCTTGTGAAAGTTTTAGTGTACCGATAACTCTGTTTCTGGCTATGCTCATGCCCAATATCTGCTTAGCAGCCCCTAGGTCCTTCATCTTGAACTCTCTGGACAACTGCTTCTTAAGCTTGTTGATCTCCTGCATGTCGGACCCAGCGATCAACATGTCATCAACATACAATAAAAGGATGATGTATGAGGAGTTGAATTTCTTCAAGTAACAACAGTGATCCATTTCACATCTATTGTACCCACTCCTTTGCATGAAACTATCAAACTTCAAGTACCACTGTCTTGGAGCTTGCTTCAATCCATACAGACTTTTCTTCAGTTTGCACACCAAATTTTCCTTACCAACTGTGGGAAAACCCTCTGGTTGTGTCATGTAGATGTCTTCTTTCAGGTCACCATGGAGAAAAGTTGTCTTCACATCTAGCTGCTCTAGATGGAGATCTTCAGAGGCTACAATACCCAAGACCATTCTGATTGTAGTCATCTTTACAACTAGAGAAAATATCTCATTGTAATCAACTCCTCTCTTTTGTTGAAACCCTTTGACTGCCAGCCTTGCCTTGTATCGTTTGGTGCCATCAATCTCATCTTTAACCCGAAACACCCATTTGTTCTGCAGTGCTTTCTTCCCTGTCGGGAGCTTGACCACGGACCAAGTATGGTTCTTATCAAGTGAGCTCAACTCGTCTTCCATAGCCTTCTTCCACTGTATGGAATCTTTCATCCTTAAGGCCTCTAGATAAGACTCAGGTTCACCATTCTCAGTCAACAACAAGTAATTAGCTGAAGGGGGAATACCTGACTGGAGGTCTTCGCACTCTAGTGGATCTACAGATAATAGGAGTTTCGGTTTCTACATCATCTGCAACCTCATCCTCTGAACTACTATCCACTGTGCTCCCACTATCTTCAGATACATCGGAGCTCCCACTGCTTCCTGAACTTTCACCTATCTCTGGAGTACTAATAGGTTTTACAACATCATCATCTGAGATTTCGTCTAACTCAACTTGATCCTTATTTTGTGGTTGCTTGTCACCATTGGAGCTTTTTTTGCAAGTTCATCCTTGTATAGAGCATTCTCGTTGAACACCACATCCCGACTTCTGATAACCTTCTTATTCTCATTATCCCAGAAGCGGTACCCCATGTCATCCAACCCGTAACCTATAAAGGTGCACTTCCTTGCCTTTGCCTCTAGCTTGTCTCTCTCTGAGTCTTTAACTTTAACATACGAGACACAACCAAATACCTTCAAGTGTTTGAGCGAAATCTCCCGACCTTGCCATTCCTCTTCTGGAATCTTGAACCCTATGGGGACTGAGGGTCCTCTGTTGATTAAATATGCAGCTGTGTTGACCGAATCTGCCCAGAACATCTTGGGTAAACCTGCATGTAGTCTCATGCTTTTAGCCCTCTCGTTCAATGTGCGGTTCATCCTCTCTGCTACTCCATTTTGCCGAGGTGTCTCCGGAACCGTCTTCTGCATTCTGATTCCTTGGCCAGCACAATAATCAACAAATTCTTTGCTACTGTATTCGCCCCCATTGTCTGATCTGAAACACTTGATTTTCAAGTTTGTTTCATTCTCTACAATAGCTTTCCATTTCTTGAATGTTCTGAAAACTTCAGACTTATGCTTCAAGAAATAAACCCAAACTTTCCTTGTGCAGTCGTCAATGAAAGTAATGTAATATCGGGACCCTCCCACTGAAGAAACTGAAGTGGGGCCATAAACATCTGAATGAACTAACTCCAACTTCATGGACTTGGGCGGATGACCTATCTTTGTGAAAGTAACCTTCTTCTGTTTACCTAGAATACATGGCTCACAGAAGTCAACTGTCACAGTCTTCAGATCTAGTATTCTTCCTTTGGATGCTAGCATCTTCATTCCTTTCTCACTCATATGTCCAAGTCTTTGGTGCCATAGAGTGGATATCCCAACTTCTTCAACAACATGTACTTCAGCATCAGAAACTTCCACCATATATAGTGTACCCCGCTTCTGACCTTTAGCAACAACTAAGTTTCCTTTTGTCACTTTCCACTGATGATCACCAAATGTTACATGGTGACCTTCATCATCAAGCTGCCCCACAGATATTAACATCCTCTTCAAGTCTGGAATGAACTTGACATTCTTCAAAGTCCACTTCGTACCCAAGGTTGTCTTGAGGACCACATCCCCAACTCCAGTAATATCCAGGCTCTTGTTATCTGCTAATCTGACT